TAATCTAGAGTTTTATATTAAAAAAGTGATGAACTGACTTAATGTAATGTGAAATGTGTCAGTTCTAGCGATAAACAGATTTCTCACCATGATCTGCAATTCCCTTCAGCTCTTTGGAGCATTTTAGCATCTTTCAGCAGACAGTTTTTGTTTTATGGCCCACAACTGTATTATTTTGGTTCCCTCTCACAAACTTTGTTTCCATCAGCAGCAGGGAAGCGTTTTCACGAGGAAAGAAGCACTATACGTTACTGTAACAGTAGACAGCTTTCTGGCCAACAAAAACAAAAAAAAGTGAGTAGAACGTTGGACTAATATTTATGATGCGGTCAGAAACACAAATCCAAATTACCCTAATGTTGCCCTCTGTCTGCTGATGTGGAAATAAGCAACTACTTGCTAACACTAGATCCACACTGGAATAGGATGTTGTCACATTGTATTAATACAAGTGTAAAGTTTGGATCACTTAGTTTGTATTAAACTCACATTTTCTATTTGTGATAACTTGCTTCAAAAGACAAATTATTTATTTCCAAATTAAATGGTATCTTTTCAATTTGTGCCTCTCTCCAGGACAGATGTTTTTCTGCTTCCCATCCCCTTTTCAATTTTCCAAAAACTGTACATAAAAGAAATTCTTCAAATGTCAGAACCCTCCATCATTTTAACAAGCAGAGGCAGAGGGTTGTATATCTTGGGAACTGCAACATCTCCCAGTTTCTGGATAAATTAAAATAGCCAATTAACTCAACAGTTTGGCAGTTCTTATCCTAGTTATGACAAACCCCAGTCCTCTAGCCTCAAGTAAACACCATACCATTAAAAAAAAGAAACAGAGAGAGCTGCTTGAGATAAGTTGTGATAGTTTTGTAGAGTTTGTGTATTAAAAATACCCTTTGCTGTGTTTGTTGATGAATGAGGCCAGGGACCATAATATACAACTTGGCGTCCTCTGGCCCCTGTGGCTCCTGATCTAACAGGAAGCAACCACGGACAGCACTGACTCTGGCCAATCAATTAGAGTGCAGAGCACATTGAGACTAACAAGCTCCCTCTCTGTGACCCTCCTCACCCCTACAGGGCCCCACGATAGGATTTATAAGCAGTTGGGAGTCCCTTTAACTCTACACCAAATCACCCCCAACCTTTCTCTTTATGCGTCATCCTTCAGCCCTAGCTAGTCTAGTCTCAGATCCTGCTGTGTGACCACGAGGTCTACAAACACATGCTGCCTCTCTCCAGAGGCCCACCACATGGCTTTTTACTACCATGCTGATGCTAAAAGGGGGACACACATAGCTGGAGCTGAGTCACTTGCATTTTCCCTGTAGTTTACTCTGGCCTGTTTCTACATGGAGGGGCAGTGGAGCATCTTCCCAAGAACTTAGAATAGTAAATGGTTTCCAAATTAAGTGGCAGGATTTATGAGGCAGTGAGATAATTCTGAGGCACTGTAATGAAATGGGATTGTTGTGAACACTAATAACTAGCTTGGCTTTGGAAGTAGGTGCTGCTTATTTTAACAAACTGCCATCAATAGTGAGCAATGAATCAAAAGCTAACAATACAGGTGTTAATATCAGTAGACAGTGAGAAACTGGCCAGTAAGCAGGCCAGTCAGATCACGGTAGCGCATTTCCGGTGCACCAGTCAGACGCATCTAAAGCCAATAAAATAAAAAACATGGGGAGCCAGTAATAATCCCCCCCCAACACACACAATTCTCTCCAGGCAAAATTGATCCTGTCATTTGGATCCTGCAAACACGGACCATATGTGAGTTCAGCCCTGGCAATCAGACTGCATTGTGGAGCAGGCGGCTGAGTTCATCAGGAAAAAATTAGCCCGCCGCTCTGCAGGCCTCGCTCTCATTGGCCAGTCATGCGGCCCGCTCTGTTTGAGGGCACCCCAGACATTCCTGCGGATAATCTTTTCCATTCCTCTGCTCAGCTCACTGAGGACAGACCAAATCACAGTACAAGGCTTGCATTGTGAGGGCCTCTTTTTTTCAAAAAGCCCTGTTTTCAATGCAGTCTCTTTTACACTTTCCCTCTCTCACCTCATACACCACAATTCCAAAAAAAGAAAAAAGTTTTTCCCATCATCACTACTTTTACTCATTAAAAAAAAAAACATGCACACACACTAAATGGTTGCCCTTTTGAAATGAATAAGGTCCCAAACATTATGTTTCTCACGGTCGTTTTCCAGTAAGAGTTTGTTTTTGAAAAGCCCAAACAATGTAAAACCGCTGAAACCAGAGACCAGCCACATCACTGTGCAGGCTGGAGTTCAGCCGATCGCCAATGAATACAGCTCTCTGGGCAAGGCTTCCAAGCCTTCCCAGAAACCTCCAGCTTTGGTCAGTGCTCCTCGCCTCACACCTCCCACAGCAGCTTGTCACTGTGGCCATAGTCAGGCAGCTGGAACATCTAGATTGGAGAGCAATCACATGATCTGAGGCACTGGTGGATTTATAGTAGCACATTTCATAATAATTAGCCCCACAATTACTACAAGGTCTATTAACTTCAGACTCCAGAGCAGCTGTCCACCATCTGCTACTGTGACTTAACAGTTACTTCATTGCACTCTGCTCTTTAAGAACTACTGAACCTGTTTAACATTCCATGTAGTGTAAATGGTAACAAGATAGTAAAACCCAACTTTTTTGATGCTTTCAGTCCTCATCTCTCCTCTACTAGCTCCAGAGTCTGAGGTAGACACAGTAATCTAATGTGACTATGTGCTTCCCACTGTAGTGTGCAACACAAAGAAGGAAAACCTGTGGCATAGTTCAGCAAGACTACACTTTAAATTCAGATGCTTCTAATTGCTCAGGAAACATGCCCACCTTTATTGCAAGCTGCGACAGTAAAAGAAATGTTGCAATCAATCAAGATAGCTCAGTAAAATACACAAAGATGGGGCGAGGTTGGTGGAAAACGGTGCACCTCACCCATCATGCTGCAACATGCCCACAGAAAAAGTATTTGCCTGGGAAAAACAAGAGTAGCACATTCTCATCTTGGCTCCACTG